CCTGGCCGACTATTCACATGGAAAACGCACGAACAAAATAAGAGAAAAATCCCACACATTGTTAATCCTTAAACACACAGTTCAGTTTGTAGACCAGTGCTAAGCCAAAAACAAAAATATTTCTTAAATGTCACATTTTCACTTGAGAGAGAGAGAGAGAGAGAGAGAGAGAGAGACCTGAACGGAAATTTACAACAGCGACAACAACAAAAACAACTGGCGGCTATTACAACACCTTGGCCAGAGAGACGGACGCTTAACTCTATATTTGTTGACAAATACTCCAAGAGTGGGTAAAGGGGGGCACCCACAGCACGGGCGGAGAGCGGGCAGGGCGGGCTGAACGGGCTCGACCCAACGATATCCGTGCAAAGCAATCTTGTCACTATATTATGACGTTAATGACAAATTGACGGCGAAATGCCTTTGATGTGTGTGTTGTTTGATTGTTTTTGGCTCTAATCATGCCGACTGCCGCCGCGGTAGTTCAGGGCAGAGCACCACGCGGTGCCTACAAGGGGGCTGTTGGGTGGGTGGGTGTATGGGTGTTGGGTGGTTGTCACTGCTGGGAGGTGCTGCTGCTGCTGCTGCTGGTGCTGCTGGCAAATGATTTTTCGTTTTAATTTAACCGCATGGCCCGCGGGGCTGTCAATTAGCCGCTTGGCTCTGGCACTGAGCTGAACACCTCTTATCAGCACCCGAAAGTCATATAACCCAGCCTGTATATATATATATATATATATATATAAATAATATATGTAGATATAGTTGACTCTCTCTGTCAGAGTGTGCGTGTGTGTGAGATAAGCCCCTGCACTATCTGCCGTGTGGTTTCTCCGTTGAGCTCTATTCTGCCAGGGTCTGTGTTCTGGCATGTTTGATGATTATGTGTCGTACACAACTCGTTGCGGCGACTGCTCCGTGCTACGTGCCGCGAACTTGTCAAACAAGCCCCGGGCAAATACTGAAAAGCAAGCAAGAGAGAGACGGAGACAGAGAGAGGGAGAGACTCTACCCGGGCAGAGTATCCAAAAAGTGCAGCGCTCATTGCCTGTCAATTATATTGTACTACTCTCAGCTCGTTTTGAAATTTGTCGCATTTGTTTGCATTTGCGCCATAAAAAGCGCGACTCAACGACCGAGTCGGCTGCATCAAGGCGCAACAGTTATTGGGTATATACATATTTAAGAGTTATACACACAGGCTATATATATATACATTTATATATATTTGTCGAGCATGAGTATGCATGCCTTGGTATTACCATTCTGACGAGACTGTGACACACCCGCCTGGCCTTCCAGCTATCCCCCAGCCCAGTTGAAGCGTCGGCATAACGCACACCATCCAATAAAATCTAATTACCTCTTCGAGGCACTGCTATAAGCACTGCCTAAGCACTGGGTATCTATTCACTTGCACGAGTTTCGGCAGCTTTTCTTCTCTGGCCCGTACCGCGCCGTACCCAGTGGTTTCCAGGGCCTCCAAGCCATTGGTTGCCAGTTCCAGAAATTGTGCTTCCCATTCTGTATGGTCTTTTGGCGGCGGCAATTTGAAGAAATATATGCAGAGTTGTACTTAGGGAATTGAAAGAGAGGTTGTCCGAAGAGAGGTCCTCCTCACATGTAAATAGAGTATAAAAAGGGGAAGCCAACACATTGTGTTGAAGGGTAATGCTATCTTGTGTTTCCTCAAGATTTATTTTATAAAAAGCCTGTATCAAAGAGAGATATATATTTAAGGAAACTCAAAATAATCAGTATAAAATATTTCAAAAATAATTATTCTTAAAAAGAGTGGAGTATAATAGCTTTATAACATTCCTTGGAGATGATAGTGCCATAATGAATTTCGCAATGTGTTTTTGTCAATTCTTTATCTTAGAGATAAGTTAAGCTAATAACCTAGAGGGGACCGTTCAACGTCCATTGTACTAAATAATTTATGAAATTTCAAGAAAACCCACCATTTCTAGTGAAATGTTCGAAAAAAAGTCCATAAAGCAGATTAGTTTTCGATCATAAAAACAGTAGTTCTAGCAATACATTTGTCCTTTACTCCTTTTTTATAGAATAAACGATCATGAAAACCTTGGTATTGCATTTGGTTAATTCAGAGCTTAGTTGTAGAACCCATTTTTGATCTTATGATAAACCTCGCACAACCTTCGGCTACAGCTTAAAATACCCCAACTAGACTCCTTGTTGAGAATTATGCGGCATGCTACAGTCATGTCTAAGACTTTGGCCCAGCCACTTTTCACATCTTCTTTGTGGCCTGAACAAGACGCTAACGTGTTGTCACTGGGGCGCAACTGCCTCGGCCTGGCCCCTAGCTTGGTGTGTGTGCCTCCAATATATAAAAAACGTTTACGATACGACACCTAATTAGGCACAAGAACGCCGCATAATTTACGTTTCGTCAAACGTTGGCGCAGTAACGCGTCAAACTCAAAGTCGGGGAAAACGGACTGCGGCTGGACTCGAGGTCCAAGCGACAACCAAAAGCGAGACAGACTGAGTAGGAGAAAGAGAGGGAGAGAGAGAGAGGGAGAGAGAGGGGGGCCAAGGTGTACATCAGCGCTGTGCAAACATGGATTCGTTCCCTATTGAGGTGCCGTCAGTTGTTGACGGGTTTGGTGGGGCCTCCTCCTCTGGCCAGAGACACACATACATCAAATCATAAAGCAAATGGTGCCGACAACTAACTGGCCAGACGGGCATATAGCCAGCCTCATGACATTTACATTCCCATTCACCCAAAACCCAAATACAACAGCAACAACAACAGCAACAACAAGAACGTTCCGCTTTTTGCGTTGGTTCCGGGAAACGCAACAAAATTTCACAAGCACAACGAAAATATTTTCAACTCTTGCGAGCAACTTCAAAGAAACCAAACTAAACCAAACCAAGCCAAAAAACTTGCCACGCCTCAACACTAGACAACATTGTTGTTGTAGTTATAGTTGTTGCTGTTGCAGATCGAACTGCTGTTGCTGCCGCCGGTTGTTGTTGTTGTTGCTTCTTGGTGATGGGCTTATTAGAGTTTAGCCGGTGCGCGAGCGTTTGGCGTCCGAGCAGGGACTGACTTTGTCAATGGGGCGTTGCGGAAACCTCAAAGCGAAATTTAGTGCGCTCACTCCTAGTCTACCCCCCCGGCCAGCCCCTGGCTTGTTCCTTGCCGCAGCATTTGGTGGCTTTATGACGACAATGCGTTTGCTGTCATAATTATTAGTCAAACACAAACAATGAATTTCATAATTTTCTCATCAATATACGGCAACAGGCCGGCCCGAGGCACAGGCCCGAGTCCCAGGCCCAGGCCCAGGGGGCCCAGCGTTAAATGTTTAAACATCCGCTCGCTCCCCCGCCCGCCCGCACGAGAAGCTGGAGTTGGAGCTGTAGCTGTAGCTGGAGTGGAAATGAAGCCGTCGCGCATAAAGTGTGAAATTGCCGGCAATTCGCAGAGACGCTGCTTCAAACTGTAACCAGGCAGAGGGAAGAGCAATTCCAGCTCAAACTCCAGCTCCAGCTGGAGTCTGCACAGCTCTTTGGCTAATGGCCCAAACGTTGTCGTTGTCGTTGTCGTTGCTGTTGCTGGGACATGTCTCGTTCGGTGCTTGTTCCATTGAATAGAACAATATCCGCGCAAATATTTGCAGAGAGCAGCGTGCGCAGTTCGTGTTTAACTGTTGCCACAGTCTGTATTGGGAGTGGAAGGGCGGGTGCGGGACTTGGAGCCGGGCTGGTCAAGAGCTGTGGCACCCATAATTGTTGTTTGATCGTTGTAATTGGTTTGTTGAAGCTGGCGCAGGAAATGCAACTACGTCGTTACAGGCGGCTTCACATTGATCCGTTTAACCAAATGCCGAAAGAGACGGCAACTTGGCCCGCGAAACAGAGATGGAGCGCTGCCGACCTGGTCGTTAGGGGCTGAGGTCGGCATGCGCTTTTGAACTTGGCCAACTTGGACGTATCTCTGTTTTGTAGTCGATCATAAAAATATTGTGTTAACTTAGCGGCCAGCCAGTCAGCCATTTGGCAGACTTCGAGCGCTACGCTGCACAGGCTCTAGTCGTCACCTGGGTGGGCGTCCAGGTGATAGCGCCTGCTCCACAATTCGTGTCGTTGGCTTGTTCTACATTGTTTGGCTAGGCGATAAGGCGAGCGAGCGATCAATGGCTCTCCAGAAAGACTGGTGGGAAAGTGCGAGTAGTCGCTTTGTCTCAGGCCCGTCTGTTCTTCCAGTTGTCAAAGGCTTGTTTGGCCTGGTGGAATGAGTGTGCACACCTTAATGGTACATTAATTGCCCTTGTTGGCACTCGAGCGATAAACATCGCTACAAATATTTGATTTCTCGTTTGCTACAAGTGGGCAAACAGTGTAACTACATGTGAGAAACCAGACCAGGCCAGGCCAGGCTGGGTGGGAGGCATGTAAACGGGGTCTGAACGGAATACAAAAGGTGCGCAACAGGAAGCACTTGGAACACTCGAGAATTCACTGGAAATTGACCTAAAGATATAATTAAATTAAAGAAATCCGGAATTTAAATCTTGTAGCTCGATTCCTTTTTTGAAGCTATAGAGTTTTTCTGGGAAAACTTTCGCCATCAGTTTCCTATTCTGAACTTCCGTCTTTTCTTTTTATGTACGATCAGCTCTTTGTGGAGATATCTTCCTTGTCCATTTTATTTCACTAGGGTTAATTTTAGGATTATTCTTTCTCTTTCTTGTAAGAGATGGTGTTTGTTAGAAGTCAGCCATATCATTAATGGTCATTGGGTAATGATATCATTTCGAAGTTCTTCAATAGGGATGAAACTTTTGGAGTTTTATTTTCCAGCTTCTTTTGCACGATCATTGTAAATATGAAGCGCGTAGATTTATTGACTTGCTGACGAGTCCATTGTGATCCAAGTCTTAAGAATTAACCAGGTGTTTGCATAAGTATTTCTATTAAACTATATCATTTATTCGATAGTACGATAAAAGTCCACAATTTACTTAATATTCTATTTATAGTATGTATATCCAAATAAAGTCAAACTTTCGATATATTTCTATGTTTCAAATATCCAATAGATTACCAGCTAGAAATATCAGTAGCTTAACCATAATTAGTCACACGCTAAAACTAAATTAAATGCTGTAAGCTGTAAGCAACTTAAGGGCCACGAGTACGAGCAACACAGATCAGACACATTGTGGAGGGATTCGAATTGTTGAGAGCTGCAAATGAGATTTTCAGAGCGCTTCCTTTCTCGAAAGGAGCTCAATCGCTGACGGCAACCAGGTCTCTGGAGGTGGCTGAGGCAGTTGCTCCAGAGCCTGTTGGGCTGGGCAGGACCATCGATAGACCCAGATCGGAGCTGGAACCGTTGCTGCTGCTGCCAAATAGATCACCCAAGCCACCGCCCATGCCGCCCGTGGCCGACAGATTGTGCGTCAGACTGTGGCGCCTAAGATCACAGTTGCGCCGAAACACTTTGCCACATGAGGCACAATTGTAGGGCTTGATGTCCGTGTGGGTGAGTAGGTGCGTCTTCAAATTCGAGCGCTGATTGAAGGAGCGATTGCAAACGGGACACTTGTGCGGCGACTCCTCCATATGCAGAATCTTGTGCACGGCTAGAGTGCGCGACTGGCAGAAGCCCTTGCCACATTCGGCGCACTTGAAGGGCTTCTCCTTGGAGTGAATGTATCTGAGAACAGAATAAAAATATGAATAAAATATTAAGATTAGTTAGTTAGATAATTAGTCAAAAAGCTAATCGACTGCTGATTGAAAAAAGCCGAAAGTTAGTAGAGATAAGGTACCAGAGCTGAGTTAGCCTAGAAAAAATTGATGATAAAAGGTTAAAGTTCTACAAATTGTTTGTTATTTTAATCATTTTTAATTTATGAATCATTCCCTACTTTTTTTTATTAAAAGCAAGTAAACAAATCGAAGTTTTCTGTAGTTTCATTGAGTTCGTTAAGGTCGGGTTTGGCAAGGTTTCGAGTAGTTTCGATTAGTATTCTCAAGTTTCGTTAAGTTTTGAAAAGGTTTCGTCAGGTTTATTTCTACAATCGTCTGGCTATTTGCCTTGGCCTTGGCATTTGCTTGTTCCTTTCTTACCTGTGATCCCTCAGATGATCCTGACGCCTGAAGGCCTTGCCGCATATGTCACAGGAGTAGGGACGTTCGTCCGTGTGGGTGCGTTCGTGGATGAGCAGATTGTAGGACTTGGTGAACTGGCGATTGCAGAACTTGCAAATGAACTGCTTCTTGGAGCGCTGGGCTGCCGCTGCCGTGGAGCCATTTGCCGCATCCTCCGCACTGCTGCTGCCGCCAGCGGCCGCCATGACGCTCAGCTTGTCCTGGTACATGGTCGCCTGCAGCGAGTGCAGCGTGGTGTCCGTTTCCGTGGCGCCGAAGCTGCTCGGATTGAAGATGAAGCTGCCGTAGCTGCTGTCCAGGTCGCCAGCCTCAAAGGACAGGGCATCCTCGCCGTCGAGCAGCGGCAAATCGCATTCGGCTGCCAATTCGGCGGCTGTGGCACAGTCCAGTGCCGCCTGCTGATTGGCCGCAGCGGCGGCAGCGGCAGCAGCAGCGGCCACGGCGGCGCTTACGGTGCTAATTGAAGGCAGCGGTGGAATGCACTTGGATGTGCTTGAGGAGCTGTTGTTGTTGTTGTGGTTGTTGTTACTGTTGCTGCTGTTGTTGTTGTTGCAGCTGCTGTTGCTGCTAGTGTTGTGGTTGTTGTTGCTGCTGCTGGCGTTGGGCGAAGTGGCCACAGCTGTGGAGATGCTTGAGGCGCTCGAGGAGCAGCTCGACTTTAGCTCAATGCTGGCTATGTCTATTAGCGTTGGCAATGTTGCATTCTGCTCAGCATCGCTGTTGTTGTTGTTGCTGCTGTTGCTGTTGCTGCTGTTGTTGTTGCTGCCGCTGCCGCTGCTGTTGCCATTGCTAGTATTGTTGTTGTTGTTGCTGCTGCTAAAGCGAAAAACATCCGATTTGCCGGTGAGACGCTGCAGCGCCAAATAGGATTCGAGTGCCTGCAAGTTGAGCGCTGCTGCTGCTGCCGAATTGGCCGGCAGCAATGCCGCCTGCTGTAGGCTGCTGACCATGGTGCCCTGCAGCGAGAGCACCACAGCAGCTGCCGCTGCCAGGTCATTGGTGGCAGCTGCTGCTGTTGCTGTGGCAGCGGCCATTGCTGCTGCACTTGATTTAGTGGCAGCAGCAGCAACAGTTGCTGATGTGCTTGCTGCTGCTGCTGTTGCTGTTGAGCTTGTTGCTGCTTTGCCTGTTGCTGCTGATTGCGGTTGCACTTCTGGTTTTTTGAGCTGCTGCTCGATATTTGTTGTAGTTGTTGTAGTCATATCTGTTTGCTGCTTGTTGTTGTTGTTGCTGCTGCTGCTGCCGCTCTTGTTGCTGGCTGCAATTGTTGCTGCCGCTTCTAGCGAATGTGACTTACTGCAGGTCTCGGCTGCAGTCGCTGTTACTGCTGTTGCTGTTGTTGTTGCTGTTGCCGTTGTATTGCTTTGTTGTTGCACCGTTTGCATAGTGTTGTTGTTGTTGTTGGTGCTGGTGTTGTTGTTGTCGTGCTTGCCAGCTGCAGCAGCGGCAGTCAATTGCTTCGCTGCGTCCATAAAAAGCCCAAAACACTGATCCACTGATCCACGCACACACAGCAGGATATCGAGCCAGCACTTGGCCCGTGGGCACAAAGATGCAACGCCTGTTGTTGCTGTTGTTGTCCGGCTATTGGGGCTGCCTTTGATTTTTTTTTATTGTTTGGCGCACCTACGCAGGTTGAGTGCGCGCGCCTCTTGTGGCCAGTGGCTGCTGCGGTTGGTTCGTGGCTGCTTTTTGGCTTTTGACTTTGCACATGAATATTAAAAACCACACGCCATCATAAATCACGCCTTAGTCACGCTTTCAAAAGTCATAAAAATCGAATTTGACGTTCCAAACGGCAAACAGCAACACGGGCAAAATGAAAACAAAAACACAAACAACAACAACAAAACCAATTGCAGCACTGGCGCAGATAGCGGAGGGGGGTTGGGGGGGCACACTTCCAGCGAGTGGATCAAATGACGTCGCACACGCGCACAGTTTTGAAGAGCTTGGCCCACAAAAGAAAACAGAAATGTATTTGTGGGCGTTATTGTCACAAACCGTTTCAATTGGAAAGTTGACAAAGCACTGTTAGAATTTTTGCAAGCGAACGGTACCCGGCTTGGAAGGGGCGGTTATTGAGGTTAAGTTCAGCGTTTCCGTTTTGACACTTCCGTAAATAAATATGCGTATAATTTGTGTGTTCTTAAAACCAGGTGCGGATTTGTTGCTGCTGTTGCTGCTGTAGCTGCTGTTGCTGCTGCTGCTGCTGCTCTGCGATCAGCCGTCGTACCGTGTGCGCTGCACAATATTGGTAAAAGATCACGGAATAACTAAAAGTCCATTGCTCTGCGAGCGGCGCGCGGACCTGGACCTGCGCTCACTTGTTGCCGTTTCGCCTGACCAAAGCGGCTCTCACCAACACACATTGCCACGCACACTCTCACAGTGCACTCGCACTCAAGCCAGCTGAGTGAGAGCAGGCGCGAGTACAAGAGCGCAACAGACACATGATCACAAGTGAGCGACAGAGAGGGAGAGAGAGAGAGAAAACGAGAGCGCTGAGAGTGAGAGCAAGCGCTAGCGCAGCAAGGTGGTTAGTAGGTGCAAACGAAACACGTTTTGTGCTTGTGTGCTTAGTGTGCCCATCTCTTGAGCGATCACCCACACACACACACACACGCACATCGCTGCAGAGAGCGCGATCACTCACGCACACGCACACACACACACGCAGAGAGAACATGCTAACCGGTTATTGGCGCTCGCAGTTATTGTTAATATGGCAAACGCTTATTTTTGAGTGGGTGTTCTTTCGCAATTGCTTTAGAAGTAATCGCTGCGATTGTTGTTGTTGTTGTTGTTGCTGTTGTTGTTGTAGTTGTTGCTGCGGCGCACATAATTTGCCATTTCTTGTTTGATTATAAACTTAGCTTTGCAATTTTGTTGTTGCATTCGTTTATGAGTTTCACTTTTCTCATTTCTTTCTGATTGTCATATTTCTCTACATATTATTTTATTTTATTTTTTGTTAGCAATTATGTAGTATTACTTTATTTGTTTGCCCAAATTCAGGCATACAGCCTGTTCGACTGCGCCTTTCGAGAACTTGCTTGAGAATTCAGACAAATCGTTGATAGCCTTGAGCGATAGTTAAAGTCGTTGCTTGCACTTGACGTTCGTAGTCAGGGACTTGAATTGGGGATTGGCGTAGAATCCGAATAAAAATCATTTCGAATTTATTTATGTAATTGCTACATTCATTGAACAACTAATATAGTTACAAACTTGAATTGGTAAGTTTATTTAAATACTAAACAGAAATATTTGTAATCTCATTATCAGTAAAATATGTAAAAACTAGCCAAGAAACGGGATTTCGATTTCGGATTAGTTATCGATCATCAGAAACTACGGACCTACGTATAGCTCTCTAGCACGTATGCGATCGACGCGCTTATACATAAGTACAGACGGACAAACGAATGGGCGTGGCTAGATCGATAAGAATATTTATGAAGAAGAATACTGGCTGAAGAATATATACCCTTTAAGGGGTCGGAGTTGCTTCAGTCTGTCTGTTACATGCACAAAACCATTATACCCCTTTCACCCATTTTCGATGAGTATAGGGTATAACAAGAAAAGTGTTTTTTTAAAACAACGAAGAGCTCCAAAAATCTGGACTGTAAGCTAACGAAAGATGCATCCCCCAAAAGATATATTTTCCTTTACTCAACAAGCTTCGCTAGGATCAATTATTTAAAGGGTATAAAAATGTACTAATGATTTATTTTTCGAGGTTTCAGTTATTTTGTAGTTGAAGCTCGAGCAAATATTTTGCACAGTGTATTTACCTGCTAGCTAGTGCCCATTAGCGAACGCGTTGATTTCTCGGGCCCTAGGCGCTACCCCCAACGAATGAGTGTGACACACCAGCAGCTGGCCCCCCCCTGGCAGCTGCAGCAACAACTCATTGGAATAATTTAGCTCGCACGCCACAGCAAAGCACACGCCCCACAGATGCAGATGCAGATGCAAATGCTGTTGCAGTTGCCTTTGCTGGGAAAGGGACAGGGACAAGGACAGAGAGAGCCACAGTCACAGCTGCAAGTCCAACGCCCAGAATTGAGCACGACCGAGACGCGAACTTCGGATTGGAGCTACACTTTAAGTCCAGGTTTTCAACTGTCAATTATATCTGTATGCATAAAGCTTGACTGTGGGACTCACAGACTCGGAGCTGCGCGGATGCTCAGATATGCGCAGAGGCCGCTTGAATTTTAATGCGCTAAACGGCGCAAGTAAATGACCAATAATCATGGGAGCTGCCTGCTCCGGCTGCCGGTTGGTCAGCTACAACTCCAGCATCAGCTCTGACTCCAGATCCAGCTTCAGCTTCACGTTTGCAGTCGGCGCTGCAATTTATTTTTGCATTAAATTGCAATTTGGCCGCAGATTTGCGGCTGCGGGTGGAGCAGAGGGGCAATGCACAGTTTTCTACCATTTATACAGATATTATCATGATTAATAATGCACAAACATGTCATACGCTCGTTTCGTGTGTGTTTGATTGGAGCGCATTAGGAGCGCGTCTCGTAATGATCGGCCACAGAGCAGCAGGGATCACCAAGCACCAAACGGCTGGGGCCAGTCCAGCAAGGAGCCTTGCGTATTGTGGATTAGCGTCCACAGAGTCTCAGCTCGTCCCACGGTAGCAATTATGTCGCTTAGTGCGCCCAAACGTTCGCTTATGATGATCATTGCGGAGTCGGCGCCTTCAAAAGATTAGCGATCGCAGCGACTGCATTCCAAGGTAAACTCCATGGGGCTTTCGTATTGACACAAGCTTCCTTTAAATGGCTCTACTGCTTCCTCTTTCCCTTTCTCTCTTCCCCTCTCTTTCTCTCTCGCTCAGTTTTGCTCTGGGCCAGCTTAATGTCGTTATATTTCGATAGTCGCGCTTTTAAATGCGCGTTTCCTGTGCCGCTTTGTCAGGGACACGATCGACGATCAGATGCACATCCAGGCTGAGGCTGCGACTCGGGCGCTGCGTCTCAAGGCAAATGGTACATGATTTCAAATATCAAGTACCAGTTTACATATAGAACGCTCGGCTCTAGCGAAAACCAGTCAATCCGCAAAACTCTTCGGACTACGTCTGAGTCTGAGTCTGATGCTGAGTCTGGGTTTGGGCCTGGGCTTGCGACAGGGTCTGGGTCTGGGTCTGGGTCTGGGCACGGGAATGCCTCGCAGCCTTACACCATCTGTCACAGGGAAAGGCGCGCATTCGGATCGGCAATAAGAATGCGCTAAACTTGATTCCTTAACGCTGTGCGCGCATGCGTGGGCTGGAATTACATGATCACGATCAGCGATAAAACTTGATGTTGTACATAGCAAGCAACATGCGCGGCAGCGGGCACAGGGACATGAACAGATACAGGGACAGGGACAGGGACATTACCTGCCACAAGGGGCAAGGACAGGAGAGCGGACAGAAACTTCACTGAAGATCATGAGCCAAACAAAATGTCGCAAAGCCCTACAAATGCCCAGCTCGGAAACGCAGGTTGAGCATCAGGTCGAAAGTAACGGCACACGCACTCGATCGATCGAACATTTCTACGACTTAAGATAAAAAGAGATATCTCTGCATTTCATTTCAAAGATTAAATAACAACCAAATCATATCTCACATATTTAAAAAGAAATTATTATAAAATACCAATACCAATCAGATGGCAATAAGCTGAAATTCGAAGTTTTCAATGAGAACTTTAGATTAAACAAATCACCTTTCAACTTGAAGAAACATAAGACCAATAGCAGCTAAAGACTCATAATGATAAATATTATTTCTCCATGATGTTCTTTTTGGAAATTACAAGTTTTACAAAATTCATATAAAATAAATAGTTTTAATCGATTGTTTACGCCTGCTTTTTTTTATATAGAGTTAGTTGTTTGTAAAGTTAGTAGTGCGTAATAGTTTCCAATAGATCTCTTCTTAAATTCTCGGTTCACAAATTCAATTCACATTCCGTGGCAGCGATTTTGGCATTGGCTACGTGATCGAAAACGATTATCGCTCCCTCCTGGGCATCCACCATAGATGAACATTTTACACTTTCTTTTATCTGGATAGTAGGAATACCTCATATGGTAGGCATAGCAATCGCCTGCTACTCCAGGTTTCTGAAGACATCGATCTAGTATAATTGTTAATAATATACTTTCACGTGATTGAAGAGCTATTTTATATAGTTTTACCAACAGCCTGGACAATGCCAATAAAGTAAATGGAAATGAAAATGAGTGCAACAAGTTTCATGATATTCGACGATAAATAAGATACTTGAAATGGATCGCATATTTCTGCCACTTATATTTACCAACATTTAACTGGAACTAAGTTGTAATTTGTTCGCTCGATGGGAAATACATCGTATTAGCTGGTAGAACTAATGTATTTATACCACTAAATATAACCAAAAAGCTACAGTCTCTTTCCGTAAACAGCCAGTATTCAAATGACACATATCTTAATCATCTTGTTTGAGATCGGAACTCATGAATATAAGTATATCTTGGTACATGTCCTAACTTTGATTGCAGCCTTTGGTCCGAGCAATACCGGGAAATATCTGCTGTTGTTTTCCAACTGAAAGTACAAATCTTTTCCGAGCTCCACATAATAAAGACAGGCTCTTGATAATCCATGGAAACTTGCCCGATATTTCATCTAATCAGTTTCGAACTCATTGCACCTGGATGGAACATAGTGGATAATGGTAATGGATAGACAAGCGATGTCTAAAATTTTTTAGAAACAAAAACTTGTCCCGGGCACATCCGGTTAGGATACTTATACAAATGCATACTCCTTAAATTAAGTAGAAATGACTGCATCAGGGTAGCCTTGATATTCCTGTTGTGAATTTCATGCAGGGCGACAATGGAAAGCCATTCGCAATCATTGCTGTGACTCGATTGTGAGAAGTACATTGAAAAGTTTAAAGTTTATAAAAATCAAGAAGGATTCTGGTAAATATAGCATGTGATAAATATGAAAATATATTCGTTTAAGAAAAAGGATACGGACTTTGTACACGAATTTTTTATAGAAATAATTGTACAGTCCTCACGATGGAGCCTCCAAAGCGTAAGGCTCATAAGAACGCGATTATAACAAATCTTTTACGTGCTAACCCTGCAAAGGTAATCCCCGTAAAAGTGCCGAAAACGAGATCGATGTACACCCAAACAGAGGCGATAAAGGCAAATAGTTTGGAAGACGTACTGCGACCCAAGGTAAAGTTGGCTCAGCAGGAGAAGGGGCCGGCATTCAAGGAGGACTCGCCTGCCGGCGATGCAGAGAAGCGACTCACCAAGAATAAGGCATGTCAGACCCAAAAAGTTTCGCTAAAGCGCGGCAAGCCAGATACACCGATAGATCCCCAGAAGGCCACAATGCTCAAAAGGCGAAAAATGGCCATTGACGTGGATAGAGCTCGTCTCAAGAAGCTCTTAGATGAGATTAACAGCGATCCGCCGCCCAGTTGGCACAAGGCCTCGATCATGTGGCTGGATGTGGATGTCTTAGAGCGTCGCATCGAGGAATTCGAGCAGGAGGAAACCGCAAAGAAAACTGGGACAGCTTAGCAAACGGAGGAGTACATAAAAAGCGATCAAATTCAAACAAGCAGACACACATTATGAGCTACATAAATTGATTAGTTTAAAAATAATATTTAAGCACCGATAGACAAATAGCCTTATTACAAATGTTAATTACCAAAAATATTATAAATTAATTTTATAATAAGACATGTACTTGATCAGGACGAATAACTGGTTCAATCTAGTCATTTCCATATGTGCGTCTCGGATCTGAAATTTAAAATTTTGTTTTTTTTATAGATTTCGATCGACAAACTATATTTTCCTATGTGATATGCTGAGAACTTTGGCTAGAATAATGAGATGTCGATGGAAGAATTTCTCTTCTGTTACACGAAATCGAGCTAGCTCTGAGACAAACTTATTTTTAGCGCTCAAGAAAAAGCAGCTAGATCAGAAGTTGGGAGTTGCACGTTTTACGTTATTTCCCGATAAGGCTTCATTGGGAACTACTGAGGCACTTGTGACCGATCGGTTATATATTTGCTTGAAATCTTCTGGAACTAAAGTGCAATTTGCTTCGATTGCTTTGAATTTAATTATATTTCAAGTTCCAGATGTGAACGGATTCCATTCCATTCCAAGCATCTCTGCACTTTCACAATAATATCGATAGAGAAAAGACATAAAAATCGCGACTTTTATCCAAATGAGGACACAAATCAGAACAAAGCAGAACGAATGGAGGCATGGTTTGTATTATTAGATAGGATTTGGATCAAGTCTATGTTATAGCTAATACTTGTCTCTTTGAACGTTGTCATCGCCCAAGTGAAAGGTAACACCTTTGCATGTTTCCACAGTACAGGTGGACTTACAAACACGACGAGTGCAAGAGTTTCCGTTGGGGTGGATTTCCCAGTGAGCCTTACTAAAGAGTAGAAAGATAAGTGCGAGAGTACTCGTTAATATCCGTATTTAGTCCAATAAAACCAAACTTTCATTTTAATGGTTGGAGAATCTATTTAATATGCGACTCTGAGAATTTTGAATTGCGTTGTTTTCAGTGTGGGATCCCTGTAAATGCCCCTTACCTTTGTGCATGTGATTTGTCGCGTCAAATTATTGATTGCCGTCTCGTAATTTGATTTTGATTGTCTGGGCCGCTTGTCATCTTTCCGATCGAGGCTTTAATCTACTTTGATTTGGCACGGCGCGGGGCAGCCAAAGAAAAGTAAAAGTCATAACACACATGTATGGCAGCGATAAGATCGACTATCGACGATCTTGGCCCTGGTCCCGTCCGACCCGTTGCCATTGTTTGGCGTGACTTTTTATTGGTACGAGTAATTACCAGGGGCAAACGCCCCTGAGTTCCCGGTTCCCAATTCCCGGTAACAGCCGGCCGGCCGGCCGGCAGTGGCAGTGGCAGCAACCGCTGTTCATTAGCCGCAGGCGTTGCCGCTGATTGGACCAACTAATCCCTCTGCCTCTCCCAGACGCTGCCGTCAAGATTAGGCGCTGCCTCACTTCTTTGTCTACTTCTTCGCGTTATTATCATTATTATTCGTATGTTTAATTTTTATTTTTATTTTTTGTCAGTTCAGTTTTCTGTTGAAATCGACGGCCTGGTAGTCGATTTTGTGGTTACAATTAGTTCTCGGGTATTTTGCCTTACTGCTGTGACGCAGATCTCTTATCGTTTTTCGTGAGGAATTGACATATTCACATATTGGTAATATGATCTATTGAAAAAGAGCTCGGACCTTGTGCCGGCTGTTTTGAAGGTTACATTTCTGTGTGACAAACAATGGGGGAGAAATCATAATTACAATGGATTAAGAAATATTAATATTTTGCTCTTTGATCTGCGCCGTTCGTCAAATTTTGGGCTCGGATACTTGAGATCTGCTGTTGTTGTTTCTGATATTATTGTTGTTGTGTATTGACATGGTTCTCGAGGCGAGCGAGCAAACAACAAATGAGTTGGCGCATGGACAAAGATCTTAAGCAAATAAAAGTGTTGACGAATTGGAAGATTTTGAAGTGGGGAATTGTTATTAGAAAGAGTGAAAAGGCTCTTGCGAGCTGAATTTGGCTTTCAATCAAAGTCATCTAACAGAAACATAAGCAACAGTTGGGTTGATAATCATGGTTTTAAAATAAATGTGGTTCTTTCGTAAAGTCTAACGAGAAACAAAACTTGTATACTAATCTTCCTCTATCTAATGGCTCGAGGTCAATTTTGATCTAACAACAACAAGGTATAAACTCCGAGAGTGAGCAGGTTGTTTATATAGAGATTTCAAGAACCCCTTCTTTTAATTTCTGACCTCTGTAACTGGGTAAAGTTGTAAATACCATGATCAAAGGGCGATGAAATATATTGCCAAAAAATACTTGTTGATTGATTTAAACCTTATTTTACTTGTTAAAATATATCAGAACTGTGGCATTTCTGGAAGTTAAGCTATTAAGCATTACTTTCACTAAAGTGTTAGTCGAATTTCCTTATAGAAAGATGACCATTTTTGTAATGTGTTTTTCTTACTTATGCTTGTTTAGCTTATTAGATAATTATCTCCTAAAGTAATTTATATTTCTTCTTACTTAAGTAGTTTTTAATAGTTGCATCTTCTTTATTTCATTTTTCAATTCTGTTCCTATTCCAGACTTCTAATGCCTGGCCAATTAAAACCAATTCTCCAAACGCCAATCAAATTAAAATGTTTTATTCATTTCAGTTGCCGATTTTGAAATGTTTTGGCCCCGGTCGAAAGTGATTATCTGCCAAGGAAAACCGAGCAATCAACTAACCGTAGTCGAACAGTGTGAATGTGAAACATATCTGCCGCCCCTGCTCAAACATTCCCTGAATGATTTGGATGCCTTCAACCAGAAACAACAGCAACAACAATAACAACTAAAATAACAACAACAATCAACTAAGGACGGTCCGAATTCAAATCGAAGCCATCTGGCCAAGAGCGTCGTGGGAATCAGTTCAATATAATTTGCATGGGCAAATAAGAGCTGAGAGAGTGGTTCGGACTCGATTGCAATTCTGGGGATTGCGAATGTCAATTAATTGCATACAAACCGAGTAAAAAATTGTAATGAAACAACGTTAAAAATACAAAAAAAAAACATCAATGGAAAATTGTTTGCAATTTTCTCGCTGCTCAGAAGGTAGAAGGAAGTGAACGACAACTGCCGAATTATTGAGTGGCTGCAGTCACTGACTGACGGACTGACTGATGGACTGACTGACGGACTGACTGATGTGAGTGCACTCAGACCCCTACTCGAAACACTCACCAACTGAGTGACAGCCGCAGCATTTCGTTGTGCATCGCTGACCGTTTGGAATGGGCATCAGCCGCTGTGGACATGTGTCCGATACCGCGCTCGGAATTGGCATCGGCATCGGCAGCGGGATCGGAATCGGACTCGGTATTGATATTGGTATTGGTATTGGTTTGCCGAATGGGGCGCCATTCGTGCTTACTGGGCAAATGCTCGCGTCGATTGTTGGCCAAGCGCCTAAATGGCCAAATTGATGCACGCGATTTAACGTCTCTCTGATTGAGCTAATGACAGAGGCGACTACGTGAGAAAGAAATAAATTTCAATTTCGCATTCGCATTGGGTCAACATAGACACCAACTACACCTCAAATTGCATTTACACACAACTCGGATAAGATATCGTATCGTAATCGGGTTGCCCTTAATGACATACATAGGCTTCAAGTAAGATAGAGAGCAAGAAAGAGAGAGGCAATCGGCTGCCGGTTTTAGCAGCAGTTGCTAATTTAGGCATTAATTAAAAAAATGCTTAAGATTAAAGCAGAAATAGTAGTAAAATGATCTGGAATAGGACATGTCAATCCCTTCATAATGTGTTTCTTTTTCCATATGACTATTTCTTAGCTTGGAGGAGCTCCTCTCCATTATTTAATCTCCTAGAAGATTTTTAGATATTTATCTATTTATATCATCTAAATGTTAAGACTTTTCACTAAAGTTTAGAGCATGATATTTGATTAGTTATCACTTGTTAAGTTATCTAATATTTTAAAGTATTTACATTCTTATAAATATTCTTAAACTATCAACTTATTTTTTTTGATAAGCAAAGAGGTCTTCGACTTAGACAATACTACACACATTGTTTGAAACCTAAAACCTTCTTGTTTATTTTCCTGAATAAAAAAGTCACTTAGGCAACAGTTGGTTTTTGATAACCTAACCCAATTGCATCTGTTTTAATGGGGCACATCCTAGGTTACTCTAGGTTTCCCTAAATTTCCTCACACTCTCGCAGGATGCATATCCATCCCATGCCCTACATTATTACTAGCCGGATATGGAATGCATAATGTGTACTATATGGTCTACACTACCGGTAAACTGTGCGATTAGCTTTAAGTCCGAATGTCATGGGATCATCCACCCCCTATGGTGCGTTTTGATTATTCTATTGGCAACTCATTTCCTGCCGCCTGGCATTCACTTTCAATTTCTCAGGGCTGTTGTGAGATACGAGATGCGATGGCACTCGGAGCACAAAGCGAATACACAAATTAATATAGGAGGCTGTCTGGGCCGGGAAGGCCTTTAATCATTTTAAGCTGCGCCTTGGCCAAAGTAGAGCAGCGCAACGGCAGGAAGAGTCCAGGCCAAAGCTGTAAAGCGTGGCAAATATACGCTTAATTGGCTGTGTCCCGAGACTTCCCAGCTTCAAGAGTTCAGGCCAGGCTCCGCTGCAATAAAATGCAAATTAAACGAATGGAGGCCGGGTAGGCACATTTATTTACTTAGAACCTCCTGCTGTGCTTCCGAATTAAGTTTAAGCCCGGAGGCTAAACATGCAAAAATGAGTTTTACTAATTTCTTAACTTGCAGCCAACTGCTGCATGATGGACATGACACAGCGGCAAGCGGCGAGGGCCGAGTGGCGAGAAGCGGTAGAGTTCAGCCTTTTCTCTCCTCCATTCTTGGCGTAGTAACTGAATCTTAATCCTTGCATAAATCGATTTTAAATGAGTTTCTTGCGGTTCGAAGCCATAATCAAAATTCTACTGGCGCATGCAAATCTGCTGAAGCGAAAAAACTGGAGAACTCTGCCGGTTTCTGTTTTCGGTAGCGCACCACAAAAAAAAAACACTCCATGGTCACTCCCACCTGACTGCCGAAAAAGCGCCCGAAGGACGACGATGGAGACGCTGCTGTAGCCGAGCTGAGACGAGTCTTCGGCATGCGTTGAAAGTGGGGCGTGCGCCGTTTAGTATGCAAAGTGGCCCATGGGCTGTACCCCGACGGTACCAGACGGTACCCGACGGTGCCTTCTTCGTTGCCCCCGCTTGCCAGAGTCCCCCCTACCCGCTGCTTAAAATGAAAATGAGTTATGACTTGGACTTGGCATACGGCCGAGCGTCGGCCTCGACTCGTTTGCATATTTTAGGCCACCGTTTAATTAAAGGTTCCACAATTTCTGAACATTTGAAA